GCCAAGCACTACAACTTCTTCGGGGATGAACCTCTCTCTACCCTCATTAAATGCGCCTTTCCCAACAGTCGAGCCGTCAATGGTTCCCACCGGGATCAGTGGCCAACAATTTTATGAGTTGATGCAATACATCCTATGGATTTGCATATGCAAACATGGAAAGGTCATTGGGCAGCAATGGCCGTAATGCTCTACCAGTTCGGACCCAGCACGCCAATGCCACAAGCACCTTACTAGCAACAGCAGTAGTTCATCAGCCCTTTCCCCACTCCAGCGGTGAATGAGAATTTGAACCAACTCCCCGGTGACCAAAATCAGAACCAGGAATGCAATCAACAGTGCATGCAGAACTTAGAAGCTTGGGATTCCACAACATCTGAGGGAACCAATTGAGCTAGCTTCACTATTGACCCCGCCAATACTAATACAGTAGAGGGGTCTCGAAGGAGATGTCGCAAATGCTCCCGGTGCAACGTGGGAAGAACACACTTCACCCCAAATGAGGATAAGGACATGAAGAAGGGGGAGGTGGTCACCACTTCCTCTACACTGATCGTCACTTGAGTATCACCTTTGGTGGCCAAGATCCTTGCGGCACCCCTTCCCAAGGGACTTCAAGGCCCCCAACCTCGAGTCCTACGATGGCACCACCAATCTAGACAACCATGTCGACTGTTTTCAAGCCTGTGCATGGCATTTCCTACCAATTTCCAAGGCATAGCTTAGTTGTGATATTCAAGGTTAGTAGCAGGATCGATCAAGACTTGGAACCTGTTCACAACACACTTTGTGATGTGCAAACGATGCCCAAATTCACAAACCTGCCTCTTGAATGTGGTCCAACGGGGTGATGAGTCACTCAATAACTACATCGAAAGGTTTAATTTGGAGTGGCTTCAAATGCCGAACCTCAATCCTACAGTCCATATCACCGCGACAGTCAATGGCATCTAACATTGAAAGTTGCATTGGGAGGTCAAGTTGAACCCCCCACTTCAATGGAATAGTTCATTGACCAAGCAACCAAGTTCACCAAGGAAAAAGAAGCGATCGGATCCCAGGCTAACCTAGGTGAAAAGAGGAAGAGAATGTAGGATGACCAGAGTAGTAATAAGCAAAGAAAGAGAAGCAAGTCATTGCAAAGATGCAACAGGTCACTGTCCAGGTGTAGTAGATCTCCCTGTCGTAGGAGCAAAACTCGTTGGCGTAGTAATAGGAGTTTGGGCCGATGTTCCCAAGATCTACCCTTCTAGACCCGAAACTACACCCCCTTGAATGCAAAAAAGAGGGGAAATATTGATGGAGATCAAGTCAGTGGAATATGTGAAGGGGCCACCTTGTATGAAGGGAGATCTTGCCAACCGCAACAACAATATACAGTGTCACTTACACTAGGACACCGGGCACGACACGGAGAACTGTCGTGACCTCAAGTACAAGATCGCGGAGCTGATCAAGAGAGGTTACTTGAAGTAGTTTATTAAATAGGCTGATTGAGACTGACCAGTTGAGTAGCCGAGGAGAGAAGATGTCCCGCCGAGGAAAGCTGCTGGTGTTGATTACAACTCAAAAACGTATAAAATTTCTTCTAGAGGAACACAGTCAATCACTTTGGACTCCTACGTGTGTTGATCTGTTGATCTCTGACAATGATAAACAATTCAAAGACATTAAGTTACAGAACTAGTGCACCGAGATGGGGATCCAACAGAATTTCATCGTAATATCTCTCCCACAGGAAAACAGTCAGGCCAAAGAGACCAATAGGGAAATACTGTATGACCATCGTAGTATCGCTTTGGCTTTCTCGATCTAAACGGTTACGTGTAGATGAGTTGCCCCAGTGTTTTATGGGCTTACTGTATGACCATCAAGACAACAATGGGTGAGACTCCGTTTAACCTCATGTACAAGATTGAGATTGTCATCCCCACTGATATCAAGGTGCCAACCTCGCGATCAAAGGCATACAAATAGGAAGCAAATGACAATGAGCCGTGGAAGAGGTTCGTGACCAGGATTATATCTGAATTGTGACTTATTAGCAACATGTAGTTCAGTACAATAATGCGAGAGTCAGACGACACCAATCTCGAGTTGGCGACCTGGTACTCTAGAAGGTTATGATACCTGAGTCCGGCGTCAGAAAGCTATGTCGCAACTAGGAAATACCCTATTGAGTATGTAGGATAATCCATATAGGAAAGTAGGAACTCAAAACTCTAGAAGGGAGGTAGGTCCCCCACACATGCAATGTTAAGAACTTCAAAAGAAATGATGGGTGAGGACTTTCTAAGTTTCGAACTGCATACGACCAAATTAGTAGTTTCCCGAGCTTGGCATCTCACTTCAGTGACCTGGTCAAATCATCCTCAACTTTAAGGCAATAATTCAAGACAAAGGGAAGGCCAAAATCGCTTTTAACTCTAAGACCCCCTTAAGCCGACTTTGATACAGATCGGTCGATCTCATTATAAATATTTCAGCCATAGTCAAAATCTCAAGAGAAGGCCAAACTAATCTCAGCTTTGAGGCCCCCTTAAGCCGACCTCGACATAGGTTGAGCCTACTCTAAGCAGTTCATTTTACGATTTTACTTGGACAAAATTTCAAAGAGGGTGGTTCGCTCTTTGCGTCTCGGCCCCCAGGCAGTTCGATTTATATGTTTAAAACTTAGCCATTTTCTCTAAGATAAAGAAACACAACAAATGGAAAAAGAAATATTCCATTAATCAAATGAAACAACTTACAAAAAAAGGAAAAATGAGCAGTTCAATTTTTTTCGAGCACGCAGGCTCGGGAAAAATCCAGTTAGAAGGAAAATATAGGCAACTACTCCCTAACGCCCTCGTTGTCATTGGCCGAGGATGAAGTCAACATGAAGACTTGGTCTCTTTCTCCATACAAGAGGTAAAATTACATCATCGATCACTCACCAGCTCTATTTTCATTCAGTAGAATGCAAAGAGTTGCGAGATCCATGGAATACCAAAAGGTTACGAGGCCCATGGCCTCAACGTGCAAGGTCATATAATGAAATACAACTACTGTGTAGCATTGAGATCCCGTGACATCCTGATAACTTGCAAGGTAAGATGGGTTGCGACGCCAACCTTGCAAACTTGATCTTTGCACCTTTGCGAGGTTCCAATATGTTTGTAGTCCCCACCTCCACATGAGAAGGGAAATCTAATAAATCTCCCCCTCTTGACTCATCAGGAGGATTGAGCGATTTCTAAACTTGTTGATCTTCTACAGATTTTGTATTTTTCTTTCTATAGCGTCTTAGTTATCATATTCAAACCATTCTTGTTGATATGAATCTTTTCCAGATGCAGGTTCCAAAACATCCCCTTACCTAATGATATTTAATTTTAATGTGCTTGGACTTCGAATGAAAGCTCAAGTTCTTGTTCAAGTAGATGTCACTCTAATTATCACAATAGACAATATGCTTTTTTCTATTTCAGCCCAAACACCTTTGGAAGAGCCCTTTCAACATAGACTTGTCTTTTCCAAAGCTCAAACACCTTTGGAAGAGCCCCATAAATACCTGAAAACCTATTTCATTACAGCCCAATATTTCCTACCTAACAACTTCAACTGCATGTGCGAGATTCGACCACTTTAGACCATGACATACATTAAACTACCAACTGCTAAGGCATTGGGAATTTCCCTCATTTCTTCCTTTTCCTTCTTAGTGGTAGGGCATTGCTTGGAGCTTAGTTTGAAATGCCATGCCAAAGGAGTCCCAGCTTTGTCCATGTTGAATCTTATAAGAACTTTTTCGATGTATATGTTTAGTGACAACCCACAACTTTTTCACCTTAATGTCACATGAGGGTCTCAAGTTTTTCATCACAAAGGCTTTGCTCAATTCCCTTTTTAACCTGTCAATCTTGTTTGTGTCTAGTTCAACAATCAGCGTGTCATTCACATAAAGTAAAAAAACAGATGATAAGTCATCATCGAAAAACCTCTTCAAAAACACTTTTGAAATAATCAAACTTCTTGTACTCTTTGTGAAACAGATATTCCTTTCACTTGGCGTTCAACTTCAAAATCCAATCCGAGTTCAACTAGGTGATTGCAAACTTCGATTGTTATAAACTTGTAAGGTCGGGTGGAATGCTCCAAGTCCAACTAGCTGGATTGAAAACTCTATTTTATAATATTTTGGATGATAGTTAATGAATAGTTCTTTTACCTATCGAATAAAAACGTTATTAACGTCCACTATCACAAGAAAACACAAAGGATTTCTTATCAAGTGTGAACACTTAGATAACCCGTCTCAGCAAATTTAGTCATGAAAGAAAATACAAAGGCGGTAGTAATGTTGGAAAGAAGCTTTGACCTTATAGGGAAAGGCTCAACTTTCCAGTTCAGATCTTCTCCCACCATAACGCTTCTAACATGTCCCAACCGGAACATCTCCCCATGAATGACGCAGATCTAAACTACAATGGAGATATTCCCAATGTACGGCTATTAACAAAACACTCCAAACAAGCCATTGCAGCCGTACATTGGAAATATCTCCATTGTAGTTTAGATTTGCTTCATTCATGGGGAGATGTTCCGGTTGGGACATGTAGAAAGCGTATGGTGATAGCAGATCTGAACTGGAAAGTTGAGTCCTCCCTAAAAGGTCAAAGCTTCTTTCCAACATTACTACCGCCTTTGTATTTTCTTATCATGACTATGAATCTCCATATGAAAGCTTTAACTAAATTATCGATAGGGCATATCGTATTGTATGTTTGGTTAGAGTTTGAAGAAATGTAATGTTACTAATACATGATGTGACAGGCCCTCCTGTCAGTTTGTCAGATAGAAAATTAAAATAATAATAATAATAATAGTTTTGTTCAAATGATTGCACATCGAGAGTATTGATACTTTGAACCTTCATATAAGTTGCAGTTGCAGCAGCATACTGCCTATTTGATAAGATTGATAAAAAAAATTACTTGGAAGGATTGACATTAATAATATAAAGAAATTATAAAGGTACTCTTTTACAATCCACTAAACAACATTTATAACAATTTATTAACAATTCCACAAAAAGGAAAAAGAAAACCTTTGCTTTCTTGAGTAGCCATAAATTAAACAATCTGTGAAAAATAGAAACTAGGGGTGAATTCTTCATGAACAAGAAAGGGTTTCGACTTAAACCTGTCTCTGCTGCATTGGAACCCGAAGGTATTATTTCACTTGCAATTTGCTGTAGTTATCTGCAGCTATCGATAATGACTGTATTGAAACTGGGAATCCTGGACCCATCTGCATATTGATATCATCACATCAAATACTTGATGAAAGCAAATTATGGATAAACAATGGATTACTTAAACACTGTCTATACCAAACCTATCATATTTGACAATAGATTATTTAAAAATTAACCACTATAATACTGTCGCCTATTTGAATTGTGAATTGTCTTTGCTGGTCTATTGATGCATGCAATACGAGGCTTCACATAACACCAAGGAGCAGAGACTCATTTAGAGATGGTTTCCAATGTTAGCTTTTGGAACCAAATCTATCACATTTGACAATATATTCTTTAAAAATTAAAAGAAAAAAAAAATCAATTACTACAACACTGTGCCTATTTGAAATGTGAATTGTCTTTGCTGGTCTATTGATGCATGCAATATGAAGTTTCTAACACCAAGGAGCAGAGATTTAGCCTTTGTCCTAATATGCTATTTCATATGCTTATTTGTCTTATAAATGTTTGTATTGGTTTACGTGCAAGCCAACCGTTAGGGGAAGCCTCATTTTAATATTTCCCCCAATATAAAGGTGTTTATTTACTGTTCTGCTTATGTGGCACCTAGTGGCACCTAACTGTCAACAAATACCAGAAAAAATGTTTATCAACCACTTTTTCTTGGCTTTGAAAACAAATCAAGTACAAACATTTATTTAATAAGCGAAAGCCATACCAAACATACAATTATTTAGAGATGGTTTCCAATGTTAGCTTTTGGATGGCCATTTGAAGAGAGAATTTCCTTGGTTGGATATTCATTGAATAAATGCATACAAGGGGTGATTCGCAGTGTGAGGTTTGGAATAACTTATGACTGCCTCACAGGCCCCACTTTACGTGACCCATATTGGCCCCTGACATGCCTTTATAAAGCAATCCCTAACCCCCCTGCTCCCCCCACCCAAAAAAAAAAAAAAAAAAATCCTACCTGCATATACTGACGGCTCTTTTTAGTGCAGATTGCTTTACCACTCACCCTCACATCTCCACCATGCAGTCTCTGAATCACTAGATTCCTGCATCATAGCACAATCAGATCTTCTGTCTTCCTAACCATCTTAGGAGAAAATTCCTGTTTATCGGATCTCATCAGATCCCTATAAATAAATCCCCTACCAGATCTTTCCCTTCAGCAAAGATTCCGAGAGCCATCTCTGTCATGACTCATGATTGACATGTGTCCTCTTCCCTACCAGATCCTTCCTCCTCTCTTTGGCACCCTCTATAATGGGATCAAAGCTTCCACAATTATCTGCAAGTAGACATGTGTCCTCCCTTGAAGCTTGAGCAGGTCTTGCATCTCCGACACAGTGACACTTGCCTGTCTCCTGCCTTGCCCATATTTAGAATGCACATATGATCAAAATTCTGCCATTTCAGTGCTTTCTAGTCCATGATAAGGATGCAGAGAGCTCACCAATGGCCAACATGGCCCTGGAACATGCAGCCAGGCGAACATTACACAGCAATCTACAACTTAGCCAGGAGTGGTACTAGAACATCTGACACTGGGTGAACTCATCTATCTACCAGAACATCAATGCCATCTATCTACTAGAACCCATCTTCCTCGGATTGGAAGATGAATAGGAAGAAACCTCTTCCTAAATTGCTCAAGGCCAAGAGCGGGAGACCTCCCCAGTCCACACACACATTTTTCTATGTTGTCACTCCCTGGAAAAGCTTCAACTACAAGGCAACAACGAAAAAAAAAAAGAATCTCTTTCTTCAACACAACTGCTTCTGATTAGCACCCTCATAGACATTCGATACTCCTATTTGACAGCGGCATCCATCATGTGGAATCATTATAATCTAAGATGAACAGGTGTCAAGGATTGAACTGAGGACAGGAGCTTTTAGGTTCTAACTCATTCCAGCCAGACCAGCCAATCAGACCAGTAAAACCATAAACTGGTCCTCTAGCCAGTTCGATCATATACTGAAAATAGTGATTCATGAAAAACTAGCCAAAACAGGATGACCAGCCGGTTTAACCAGAAAACTGGTGAACCGGTACCAGTTTTATAAAATCGCCTGGGCCATAACATGAATATAAACTTCAAAATTTTGATAACAAGATTTGAACCCAAGACATCTTGTATGTATTGTCTTGCTACCATTAACCCATCGCTTTGTTTGCATTTATTTGTGCCTCTTTAATGTACTTATCAATTTAATGCACATATTTCAAGGAAAATGTGAGTTGAGAGACTAGAACCCTAGTCATTTATTTTAAAAACTTAAAAAATAAGTCGTATCCACCACATGCAAGTGTAATGATATTTGTGAAATATATATGTAGTGTTTATATGACCTATAAAATATATATGCATATGCCACACCATCATGGTTCAACCTCCGGTTTGACCACAGTTGAACCTCTGACTTGTGAATTGCTCTCTTTTCTAGTTTTATGCCTGGTCCAGTTCTTTGAACATTATATGATTATTTGGAAAAGGACAAGTCCAAGAACTTACATTTATTTTTTTTCTTCTGTACCCTCGTCAATGTTGTTACATAAAACAGGTTATATAATTATAATTTATTAAAAGAAGGGGAAAATGACTCTCAGCTAATGGGCTTACCGTGCTGCACAAAGTGAAGGAGTTCACATAACCAGCATACTTGGAAGCTGCAAAAGAATATAATAATGTGAATCACATCAGCTGATCAAGAAAATAAATATGAATCACATCATAAAACAAGATCTCAAAATCAATTCCCTATTCAACAGATGTGACTGTGAGGATGGATAGGATAATAAAAAATTTATATACAACATTCAGATATATGGATATTAACAATTAATTACTTCAAATTAATTTTGGCAGGAGCTATTACATTGATGACAAGTAGTTGAAATAAAGGAATGCTGTCTCCAAAAAAAATGCTGTGTACTATAATCAGAGCTTACTTAAGTTCGTTTTTTATTAGAAACACTAACTTCATTAAAAAGATCTCAAAATACAACTGTCACCCCTAGTGTAGGGGTTTGAAACACAATTAGTTACAACACTGCCCAGAACATATTCCCCCTAACAGTCCCCTGTTTTGCTAAGGTATCCACTAATCCATTAGCTGATCTTCTTGTCCACTTGAAGCAAGTACCAATCTCCCTTGTTAGGCTGACAATTTCCCTCACCAATTGTATATATATCCCTTGTTAGGCTTACATAATGTTCATTTTGAATAACTATCAGATATTAAAACTGATATTCCTGAGATTTTTCTGCTCCATTTACTCCAAGTATTTTTTGTGCTAGCAAGGTTGATCGAAAGAGGTACAAGTGGTATAGTTTTTTTCCCACTTTTTGGTGACTGATACTGAGAACCCCATTAAAGAATGAGGAAAGGCTTTCAATAGGATCTACCCGCCCCCAGGAAAACAAAATGCAGTAACCATGTTAACAGGAACTGTAATAGATGAGTCCCCAACCCCAATCAGAGCAAGCTCATTGGCAACAAAAATGCAAACTACTATAAAATCATATTAACTTTCATTTCCTATATTTTTAAATCTGGCATATTAGATTACCATTTTTCAATTTATGCACAGATTTATTGATGTTGTCAAATTATAAGAATTGGTGAATCCAACTTCATATGGAGCTAATTATTCTTTGTCCTGATTCTCCTGAATCAACTGTGCATTCTAAATGGTTCATTTGGTGTGCACAACTGTATATATTGACATCAATAAGTGGTCTGTGGAATGATTTTGCTGTTCACAACACTGAGATTCTTAACAAAACTCAAATTCATAAATAACAAAAGAAAATAATAAACACAATATGTATACTAACTCTTCTTTAAGCCAACAGGCTTTGCAAGCAAGAGTGCATTCACAAATGCACCAACATTTTCGCGTAGAGCCTCCTCTGAAAAATTTACCTGTAAATGACAATTAATTACATGAGAGAAGAAAATAATTGCATAAAAAACCACATAAAATGAAATCCTAAACGATAATTGAGTAATAATAAGCATTGCTTCTACCAGAGAGGAATTTGGAGACTTTTTAGTTGATGATGTGGCTAGATGATCAATATAATATTGCAAGATCATCAATCCACAGGCAGGTTACCTAATAAAATTGCTTCCCCCTTGCACATTTTTAGTTAGTAGTTACAGCTCAAGTGGAAGAAGCTTTTAAAGATCATAAGAGGGAGATTGTTTCAACATTTTCATGTCTTATTGGCATTGGAGATCAATTAAGGCAAAGCTCCTGGTAATATCACATGGGCTAAAGTTTGGAGGCAATGTCCAAAAATCATAATCGTATTGCAAATCATAGAGAAAGTTGAATCGAATCAAATCATGAAACGTATCATAAATCATAAGATTATTTCTATTTCTTACAAACTAATCAAAAATTAAATATAGGTATGCTAAAAGACTAAATATATGTAGAAAAGTGTTATTTAAGTCATATCTACCATCTATGTACCTAAAATAATAAACTTACCACTTATACAGTAAGAGTCTAAGATGATATAATCAAGTTTGACTTGAAAGCCAAATAATCCACATACAATAGCTCTTTATCCAACACATGACAGAAAATAAACTCAATATATATTATATAGTCTTAAATAATGTAAACATATCAGTTTCTAGTAAGGTCTTTAAAACAAGTCACCCTTGACAAAACTAATAAGCAAAATAAAATGATAAAGTATACAACTAATTCTTAATTGAATTGATTTGAATCACAATGAATCGCACAATACATATAAAATCGTAAGATTTATGAATCAAAATGTACAATTCAAACAAAATTCAAAAGATTTTTGCAGAAAAGGATTCAGACAAAAATTCAAATTGAAACCCCTAGGATTCATGACTCAAATAGTGAATCGTATCATAAATTGTAAGATTTTAAGTTTTAACAACATTGATTGGAGGTGGAGGAAATTTCAGATGTGTTGCTGGTTGGATCAGTGAGAGGAGATGAAAGCCCCTGTTTCTCTTCAACATCATACCAGAGAAGCCAGATCATTGGTTTCCAAATTGAACATCTCATCCAACATCAAGACTTCTAGTCAATTCATTGGTTGACAGTTCAGCAAAGAACATACAGGGAGAATGAGGTTGTATTATGGAGTAGTCTCTTCCAAGATAGCATTATGTGATTTTGTTGACCGTATTATTCTCAGCTAATATTAGTTAGTTTCCCTTGATTTCAGCAAAGAATGTTTAAGTCTTGTCCCTCTTTTTATTAGGACTTGACATTTGCATCTTCATTTTTCAATTTTTTTCAATATATTTCTATTATTAATACACCAAGAGAGAAAAAGAAGCATGTGTGCTAATCTCCGGTTGAAAGGATTAGGGTACCTTGTGGAATCAATGTGTTTGAGCCTGAGAGATAAGAGGGGGAAACCTAAGAGAAAGATGTCAATCTCAGAAGGAACCTCCCAAAAATATGAAATAAAAAATCAAACTATTTTTTTGAAAAATAAAAAATAAAATTTTATTAATAAAAAAAAAAAGAGAAACTGGTTACAACTCAATAGGGGTGCTAAGGTAAAACCCAAACCAACTAGACTACAAAGACACAACAAACACAAAGAAAACAGAGACCCCCCCAGCAAAAAACAGCAGTCATTAGCTTCAAACATCTCATCATGCCCCAGTGTTTTAAAAGCGCAAGGCACAAAAAAAGCGCAAGGGCCATTTTGTGCTTAAGGCGCAAGGCGCAAGGCGAGGCGTGTGCCTTTTTTGAGGCAAGGCGCAAAATTAAAAAAAAATCAAAAAATTATAAAACATAATATTAATAAAAATATAAACTTAAGTTTTAAAATAAATGTCTTAAAAAACCTATTATCTAAAATTAAAATACATAAATATAATATGTAAAGCATATTCAAATGAGAATTTAAAAATGAAATCAAACATATAAAACATTTTCAAGCATATAAAACCCACAATCTCTTTTTTTTTCTCAATTGCATCAAGTAGCTAATGTGACATATTACATTCCTAATTCTACGAGCCGCCTTTGTGCCACGCCCCTTGAGGCCAGCCCAAACAAGGCCATGTTAGGGTCTTAAATTCTTAGTTTTCACACAAAAATAATAATTTTATAGTTTTAATTGCTTTTAAGAAGATATTTTATTAGGATGAATGAATGGACAACATTACCAAATAGGGGATTCTTGAAGCTTCAGTGAGCAAGTGAACTAAGAATTTAAGTCCCTAACATGGCCTTGTTTGTGCTGGCCTCGAGAGGTGTGGCATGGGGGTCCAGGGCCCCGGCCCAACAGCCAGACTCAAAAAAAATGGAAAAGGTGGCAAATTTTCAAAAGACGCACGCTTGGGCTAAGGCACAAGGCGCACCAGGCATGCGCCTTTTGAATGGGCTGCCGCCTAGGCCTTGGGCGAGGCGCCTACCCTAAAATGCACCTCGCCTGTGTGCCTAGGTGCGCCTTTTAAATCATTGTCATGCCCGTCATCATCCTCGTCCCAAACTTTTCCTTCTTTCCGTAACAAGTTTTTCTTCATTTTCTCTTCCCTTTTACTCTTTTCAAAAACTTCAAAAGCTCTTCTAGCGAACCCCTCACCTCCCCAAAAATAGCTCTAAACTCTTGCCAAACCAAACCACCCTATCAACCAGGATTTTAATCCAATTCCGATCAATGTACAACTCTAATGAGGCGTGGGTAGGTGTGGGTAGGGTTCTTGTGGGTAGGAGATCTCAACTGCTCCTAATCTCCACTTTATGCCCTTCCTTCTTTCCATCTTGTTGAGACAAAGCGAGACAACTCTCAGCAGCTTGACTTCCCTCCTCCTTATCCCCTGATCCTGGCCTATCCTCTAGACCTTCCTTTTGTCGAAGTCAACATTATCTCCCCTACTACATCCGAAAGGTCCTCCCTCTTAATCTCCACTGTATGCCCTTCATTCTTTCCAGCTTGTTGAGACAAAGTGAGACAACTCTCAGCAGCTTGACTTCCCCCCTCCTTATCCCCCGATCCTGGCCTACCCTCCCGACCTTCCTTTCGTCGAAGTCAATGCTATCTCCCCTACTACATCTTGAAGGTCCTCCCCCCTCCTTTCACCACCCTTCTTCAAATCTATACCTTCTAATCTCTTCCTCCTGTAGACTCTCTTATATTTATTGGAAGGATCCTGCCCCAATCAATCCATCTTTTAGCCTTGAAAAAACCTTTGACACATGTACAAAATGAAACTTGCTTGTTTCTCGGGCTTTCTTCACCCCTTCTAGAGGTTCCGCAACTCCTTCATTGTTCACACTTCTTCTCCAACCTAGGTGGACTCCAATCCAACCAACTGAAACTTCAAACTTTTGGAGATCCTCGCACTATACTTACGAGTAGAATAAAAATGATTGAAAAGAACTGGTGGGGTTGTGGTGATTCTGATTTGGTTTGTTATTAAGGCTGAGGGGTGATATATGTTATCTTAGGCCCCACTTGATTCACTGCCAGAAGCAAGTTTCTGGCCATGGCAGACTAACTGAGACCAAGTAATGGCTGGAACGATATTTGGTTGGGCCCTTTAGTCTATTTCTATCTAGGACTGAACAAGAAATAAGGCCTTTTCTTGCCCAAATGCAGCATTCCCAAAACTTGCTTTGCACTTGGGTGGGATTAGGCAAGGAATGATTTATTGAGGGAACTATAACAAAAATATACCATGATGAATCTTTACTTGATAATGATGATCTAATCCTCCTTTTCTTATTCACAGAATAGGTTTTCTCCCACCTTTCCCTGCCTCTTCTTCTTTTTCTGTTTGTTTTGGTTTAAAGCCTTACACTTCTTGTATTCATCTCTTTCTCCTTCAATGAACTTTTTCTTTTTAATATCCACAAAAAAAAAGAGAATATGGTTCAACAATGGTCATCTACATGTATATTCACATGCTCCTAAATTCTTTCTGTCAAGTTACAAAATGTTCCATTAATATGAGTAAGAATGAAGATGTGCAAAAAGATGCTTAATGGTGTATTACTCATGATACTAGTAATACATTTAATTAATGTCATTATTAACTTAACAAAATAACTATACCTTCCCAAGGCCAACATGAACAATGGCAGTTTTATCAATTTTAAAATCTACCCGACCACGTTTTGCATCTCGTACAGCCCCAGCAACATCACTGGTCACAGAACCTAGCTATATGGTAGAACAAACAAATATAAAGCCATTATCTGTCCATCTATTTCAAAGGATTCAATAATAACAAGAATAACTTACTTTGGGGTTTGGCATCAGGCCACGTGGCCCAAGAATCCGTGCTATCTGGAATATGAAGATCACAAACTTTTGTTTAAAAAAAAAAAAGATGTGTTTAAGTTTAACCATAAAAATTGTATGAATGCTTCATATCTCAAACCTTTCCAAGACGGGGCATGAAAAGAGGAGTTGCAATACACTTGTCAAAGTTCAGCTTGCCACCTCCTGCAGGGTTCAAGTCCAGGAGTGAAGGTGTAGTTGAAGTTGAAGAAAAAAACATTTAAGATTTGCAGAATGAGTTAACTAGTAATGATAGCAAGAGTCATTCTCTTTCAGCATCAGGAATGACCATATAATGTTCAAGCATCATCATCTCAGACAGGAATGTGATGCCATATACCATAGGGTCAACTGACCACCCTAATGATTCAGTTAACTTCAAATTGCAATCAGGAGTTTTATGCATTGGAATGGCACAATACATATTCCATCTTGTTTTGTATAGGAGGTTTTCAGCCCCTACTACATCTTTGACATTTATTGGTGTCATCAGGCTTTACCTATAAAAAAAAAAGACAAATTATACTGGAATTGGAAGCGATGCACCTTTGCATCAAATATCCTTGACACTTATCAAACATCATAGTATAAAAAGAAAGTGGCTTATTACCTTTCCTGATCTCTTCAATAAGTTCATCCCCTCCAATTATATCTGCTCCTGCATCTCGAGCTTCATCTGCAGCTGTCCCTTCAGCGAATACTGCCACCCTGACAGTCTGGAAAATAATAGTTTCTTTTAGATCTATCAATCAACAATTAGTTTTTTTTTACATCAAGGAGATCTATGTTGGCTATTACAATTAGAAAAACCTAAATTGAAAAGTACCTTGCCAGTACCATGAGGCAGAGTTGCAGCACCTCGCACCATCTGTGGTTCAATTCAGATGTAAGTACCAAGTAATCCATTCAAATGATAAAGATTCTAATAGCTGAAAGATTTTAAAAGCATATCGTAGTCTTGCACACATTTTTATTCTTATTGGGGGGAGGGGGAGGTGGAGAGGAGGGAAGAGAATTCTTTCATTTCCTCTGTTGAGGAATGAACTTAGCCAGATTTACCACTTATTTTGTCATAGAATTACTGATTATTGTGTCTTATGCTTCAGTAAAAATATTTTCATTGTTGGAAAAAGGTAAAAAGAAAACCCCATTTATTTAAACTATATCATACTTCAGTCATTCATTCATAACATGGACACCCTATCTGCTTGTGGATAACTATGCTAGATGCAAATACTGGGAATACAAGACCATGGCAAAAATATGCTGCAATAAATCATATCAACAACTAGGGCTGTCAATGGACTCCAAGAGTTTGAATCCAATCTGATGTCACATCCAATCAGTTATCTCGGATTCAGATGATCCCTTTACATGATTGGATTGGATGTGAATTTAACTCCATCCAATCCCATTAAAATCTGAATCCAATTATATTATTATATATTATAACATTTACATAATTAAATAAAAACATAAAATATATAATTTTGTACGTTGTACTATATATAAATTTATATATAATAAAATTCAATATTTTTTTGCAACTGTAAGGTAAAGTATTTAATTAATATCAAAAGGACAAAATACAATAAAGCCCCTGTACAATGAGAAACTGAACAGACGATGTACAATCTGCCCAATACAGCCAAACACCCCCCCCCGAAACAAAAACTATCCACTCCTTGCAGAAAAGGAAATCAAAATAAAAAAAAAGAACAAGAATGTCTGTTTCTAAGCCTCTTTTAGCTAAAATCTCCTTGGTTAGGATGTTATCCAGCACTGCTGAGCAGACAAAAAAAATACAGTTTAGATGGTAAAGCCCTGATCCATATTCTGTCACTTGGAAAGGGAGAGGTATCCTCCCTTGACAAGCATTTAAAGAAAGATTTCACAGAAGAAGAACCCGATTTCTCAAAAAGCCATTTCCTTTTATCGTCCCCTACTCTAGTTGCCTTTGAGTCATATAGATTTCACAGAAAAAGAACCACCTCCCAGATGTTTAAGTTCCTCCGGAATTGAGGGTTCCATTTTTTTTTATCAATAACTGTGAAATTTCATTAGAGTAGAAAAATATAGTACACTGAATACAATAGACTGGTAAATTGGCAAGCATAGCCTTAATCAAAGTTACCCTTCCTCCCATAGTGATATAATTCTTTTTCCAAGCTGCCAACTTTCTTTCAAATTTCTCAATAACTGGGTACCAAAGTCAGCTTTCCCTAGGATTCCCACCCAAAGGTAAATCCAAATAAGTCATGTGCCAAGAACAAATAGAGCAGTCCAAAGAGTTTGCAATAGACTCAACTTCATTGTCAGCCAAATTGACCCCTACTACACAACTCTTTTCAAAATTGATCTTTAGATTGGAAACTCACTCAAAGTGTAATATTGGATCCTTAAGATTTCTCACTCTTCTCGGCTCGCTTCCCTCACAAAAAATGATAATATCGTCTGCAAACTGGAGATGAGTTACAGACACATTATTCCTTTCGATCTTCCAACCATCTATTACCCCTTCCCTATCTGCTTTTGATATCAATCTACTCAACACATCCGCCACCAAAGTAAAAATAAAAGGGGAAAGAGGATCACCTTGTCTCAACCCTCTACAGGCTGGATAAAAATCCTTAACCACCCCATTTACTAGAACAATGTAATGAACCGAAGTGAGGCAACAACTCATCTCGAGGTCCAACTTGCAAGCAAAGCCTTCTAAGTATCTCCAAGAGGAAACTCCAGTTCACCATATCATACGCCTTCTCGAGGTCCAACTTGCAAGCAAAGCCTTGGCCCCCCGATTTCCTCATATCCTCCACATAGTCATTTGCTATTAAGATTTGACCAGTTATCTACCTACCTTGTATGAAGGCACCTTGAGCTTGACACTAATGGGCATTTATTCAAGGGCCTAAAGTCTTTTGGGTGTTTAGCATCAATCTTTTTCGAAATGAGAACTAAGAAAGTGGCATTTATTCCAGGGCTTATAACATGTCTCTCTTCAAACTCCTTGAAAACCTCAACTGGATCCTCCTTAATTACTACCCAACAATCTTGGTAAAAGGCGATGGTAAACCATCTAGACCTAGTGCCTTTGATCTATCCATAGAGAACACCGCTTATTTAATTTCTTCTTCTTCAAAGCTCCTTTCCAGCCAGCCCGAAATGCTCTCGTCTAGCCTTGGCCACTCTAAGCCTTCCAGCCTCTCTCTAATGTTTACAGGTCCTCTCATCCTTGACTTGAAGTGATCCACGAAAATCCTTCTATCTCTTCTTGAGAGGAGAAAATTTCTCCATCAATTTCTAATTTTGTCACAAAATTTCTCCATCAATTTCTAATTTGGTCACGGAATTCTTTCTCCATCTCCCATTGAGCAATGCATGAAAATATTTGGTATTCCCATCACCTTCCTCGATCCACCTATGCCTTAACTTTTGCCTTCAAGAAATTCCCTCTATATAGAGAACTTCTTCCAATTCCTTTTTTTAGTTTCCATCTTGACTCCCTCTCCTATTCATTCATTGTTCTTTGGGCTTTCGTCTCATTCAAAGCCTCAATGCTTGAAAGTAAATTGCACTTATGCTCTTCTATTCTCCCAAACTGATCTTTGTTCCATTCTTTTATTTTGGCCCTCAACATTCTCAATTTTTTGTGAAACCACAATCTTTTCCATTTTTCACCCCTCAATTCCTCACTCCACCATTCTCTAACCTTCTTTACAAAAATCGGGTGCATCAACCACATGTTCTCAAATCTAAAAGGCCTAGGCCCACCATATAACCGTTCCTAGCGTAGCATAATAAGGCAGTGATCAGAGGTGACTCTAGGTGAGGCTTTTGTCACCCAACCCCTCCAAAGATTCTCCCACGCTGCATTAAAGAGAAAAGGGTCCAGCATTAAGCAGGTTGGGTTTTCTTGAAGGTTAGTCCAAGTAAAGATGGCTTGAAGTAATGGGAATTCCTTTAACTTACAAAGATTGACTAAGTTCATTGACTTCCTCATACTAGTTGTAATAGTCTGTTGGGAGTTATTTGATTCCTCCATAAACCTAATTACATTAAAATCCCCACCCAAGCACCAAGGGCCCTCCCATAATCCTTTAATTGCATAAAGCTCATTCCATAACTCATTTCTCTCTCTATAGTTGTTGGTCCCATACACATTTGTTAACACCCACACAAAGCCATCCTCCAGGTTCCTAAGTTTCAAAGAAATAGAGAAATTGCACATTAATTCCTCTAGAGCTTCCACCACATCTTCTTTCCAAAAGGTGACTAGTCCCCCTAAGGCACCCCAAGAGGGTGCATAAGTCCATCTCAGTCCTCTAATCTTCCAAACACTTCTTGCCCACCTTCTATCTAACTCTGGTAACATAGTTTCTTGAAGCATTACAATGCCAGGCTTTTCTCTTCTCAACAAATCCTTTATTAGCCTTCTTTTGCTAGCACTTCCAAGCCCCCCCACATTCTAACTAACTATTTTGATTGGCAACAGATACAGAAGACCCACTTCAGTCACTCTCCCCCACTACTTGGAACTCTTCCTTCTCTCCCCTCTCCCACTAAACTCAGTGTCCCCCTCAATATCCGAAATTAGGCGCTCCAGTTCTGATCTTTTTGTTTTTTTTCTTTCCCTTCATTGTCCTCAAGGACTCTTCACCTAATGCTATCTTCCCGCCCCCTTTCTCAAAGCAAGAATGAACCAAATTCTTTTTATTTGCATCCAAAGATTCCTCTTTCTGATTTGAAAAATGAGCCGATCTCGTCTTTCACCACCCCGTTCTCTTCCACTTCTAGGATTAGGTGGAACTTGGGTCTAAGAAGGGATTTGAGGGACTCAGACTTCGATAGTATTTCGAGCCTTATTGCACTTCTTGATAACGTTGTCTTACACCCCACTAGGGCGGATTCTAGAATTTGGACACCTACCCCCAATGGCATTTTCTCTTGTGCTTCGTTCTTCAAAGTCTTAAGTCAGTCCACGAGTCCTACCCTTCCCCCTTTCCCTGTTGATGAGGTTTGGTGCAGAGCTATACCCCCTAGGGTTGATAGTTTTTGTTGGGAAGCCTATCTGGAAAGAATCAACACTGGTGATCTACTCCAAAAGAAGAGACCCAATACTTGCTTGTCACCTCAGTGGTGTGTTCTGCGTAAAGCAGATGGGGAGACTGGTTGTCACCTACTGGTGTCTTTCCACTTCGCGAGGTCAATTTGGGATTGGGCTTTCTCCTTATTTGGATGCAGCTGGAATCCCCCATCAGACGTGCAGGGCCTTTTCTCCCCTTCCTTTTTCAGGTGGCAGATACAAAGGGGAAGGACAATGTAGAGAGGACTAAGGGCTGCAGTATGTTGGACACTGTGGGAAGAAAGAAACTCCAAGATATTCTCAAAAACTCAGAGAGGAGCAGTAGATCTGAGGACTATCATACATATTAGAGCGGTACAGTGGCTGAAATCTTTGGAACTATTCACAGATTACACTGTGGATGACATGTTGAGAAAGTGGGGTGAAATTGCAAATTGCATGCAGACCAAGTCAGTAATAAGTGTGGCTTGGACCCCCCCACTAT